AAATTACTTGCTTTCAAAAGCTACGTGTTTATTTTTCGTGCACTTTCCGAGCTTTGAAACAGAGCATAAACAGACAGATACAATTGTGTATCTTTAAACTTGTATCAGGCTGTTCCACCGAACTTTGCTTTGTGTTTGACAGTACCATCATCAGAGTACTCCTCTCATCACAGCGAGTTTTCTAGGAAGGGGGTGCTGTCTTCCGGAAGGACTGATTAAGGCCAATTTGATCCGGGCAATATCTAGCATTTCCCGTTGCTGCATCTGTACATGAAGTGCTGTCAGAAGGAAACCATTTGACAAAAACACTTTTCCAGTGAAGACCAGGCAGTATGTTGAAGTTAAACAAATAAATTTCACATTCCGGTTCTGGGTTGACTAATTGAAAGATAAAAATAAGTGTTGGAAAAGCTATTTTTAGGATGCACCATGATGGATGATGGGCTGGCCGCTGTGCCTGAGTTGGCGGATCAAATGAGCGGATGAATGATGGACCACTGTAACATTTACCCTGATTACCTGCTCATATTTCCCACTTTCGCCGGAAATCATTTTTTTCTTGTGTCGTCCATTCACCGGAAATGACACCGATCAATGAAAGGGCTAAAATAGCAGAACGGGAAGATCAGGTTGAAAGAATCGCCATTTTGTTTGCTCAGTTTTGCCGGGAATTGATTTTTAGTACTTTAAAGGATCAGTGCCGTCAATTTTCTGGATACAGACCGGAGTATTACCAAAAAAAAGACTGTCACGTGCTGGCAAGCAGAACGAATAATTGCATTTTTCAATATCAAGCACAGATTTGCTCCCAAAGATCAGCTACAAAGACGGTGCAGGCAAACGTTTTGCAAGACTTTACAGTGCAGTTTTTAATAAATTACTTGTTGGTTTCAGAAGTTTGAAGAGTGATTTGAATTACCTGCATATGTGCTCTCGTTTCGTCTCCTTTCCCCTCAAAAAAAAGCATTATGAACGGACCAAACGCACATGCAAGTTTGCTTACCTATCTTTCGAGGAAATTTACCTGCTAATTTAAAAAGCTGGGAAGCTGAAATTATTGGGAACACAGCTACCGACTGTGTACAAGGCCTTACATGTAAAATCAATTTGCAGACTCTCGTATATCCCAACCTAGGTGAAAATAAGCTCAAATCCGAATTGATTTTATAAGCTGAGAATAAATAAAGTCAAAAACTCGAAATTTTGAGGAAATTCTCGAATGCCTCGGCCTCTCACAGACAGCGAATTCGGGGGGAGTTTTCGACTTCTGATGCAAATCGAGGAGTGCAATGAGCCGACAAGTTATACCCATCAGAAGAGTGATCCTCAGCCAAGAACCGAGTCTACTTCTTAATTCCTGGCTCATTTTGTTTGAAAATCGCATTCCCTCGTGATATAATGCCAATTCTCGTCATCTTGAGCGTGCTCGATTCTTACTGTAATTTTCAGCTTTTTTTCATATTTTCTTTTGTCTACGTCACACGTCCCACAGGCTAGACTTTATGCCCATCCGGTTCAACTGTCTACTCTTAGCGGTAACGATTCGCATTTTTCCTTTCCCGGTGAAGAATTTTGGCAGTATATCTCGATACGTTACTACACCAAGGCCTGAATTCAATCTAGCAGTGTATTGAGAGACCTAAAATACACAATCGCTGTGGGCCAAAAACTGTATGTTGTGTGGTGCTGAGACTGAATGCTGCGTGCCAATCCTGGATTCCGCGGCGATCTTTGAAAGTTGTCTTCCAGAAACTGCCACGGAATCCAGGATGGAAGAATACAACGTGTAAAAAAAAAAAAATAAAATACTGTGATCGGACCAGTCCCTGTCAAAAATTGCAACTAATTTTTAGCAGCGCCTCTGGGTAACAAAAGTAATTGCTTTGCAAATATATAAAAAAAAGCATGGAAAAACAAAAAAGGCTAGCAAAATTCAAGGAGCACCGCAATATTGCATTCTCAGAAACCGGGCATCACACGAACAATTTTATAACTGATAACACATAGCACTATTTTATAACAAAAATCGACCGAAAAAACTATGTAGTTTGGTGCAACGCAAAATATGACTTTACAAGATATACATGTAAACACACAAACGACCGGAAAAATGGAATAAATTTTAGCACTTTTCGACGAAAAACTAAATAAAAAAGCATGTCAACCAACGGGAACTGATGGCCAGATGATACAGCTTTCACAACAGCAACAACAAAATGATTGTCAGACAATCGGATGGTTGGCGCAAAATTCTACCACAACAGAATGATCATACAGCTAATTAAGATATGAGTTTCAAAAATCCTTTACA